CTAAAGCAAGTGTCCAGTTATTTTAGGAAGACTAACTCAGAATAAAGAATGTTAAAATAATTTAAGTAGTACAATTATTGCCTCAAGTGCCTAGAAACTACACATTGAGGCTGAGCTGTACTGGTGTGTCCTATCAGATTATTAGAAGGAACCCACTGGTACTGGTAGACAGAGAGCATTTATAATCTCTACTCTCAAAAGCTTCCAAAGAAGAGTGTTTTGTGTTTTTAGGAGCTACACCAAGATAGGGGACTTGAGTTCTTGACTTAATCATGTGTTATCAAAGGAGAATGCAGGCTGTTGATGCCTAGCACAGAATTATTGTTTAGAAGATGACATTCCTATTTGAAAAGGATCTGAACTGGCCTGGATCCTAGCCAACCTCTAATCCCCCTCTCCCAACTCCTGGTGTTTTATAAGAATTAACCACTCTGCGGTTCAATGCCCTTGGACTTCATCTGGGCACTATTTTAGTGTTGTAAGAAACCTAAGGAAAGTCTGTGACTTTTTATCCAAGCCAGAAGTCAAGCCCTCTAACTTTCTAGAAGGAAACTTTTTAACTTTCTATACTTTGTTTCATTTTGTTTTATTGACTTAGCTACTTGAAGACCTAATAGTTAAAGTACTAAGATTTTTCAATGTAAAACACATACTATCTGTACTCTAAATTCTCATTAGAGGAAACAGTCCCATCATCCTCTCCAGGTCTTCTAAAGATATCAATTAAGACAACTGATACTGTACAAAAATGAATGGACCTGCTAACTCTCAATTTATAGATTTTATAAACTCTAATATTCAACTAATATGCCACATGAAAGATATATTATTTTAGCTTACAAAGAGAAGAGAAAGTTGCCTGTGATGTCCTAGTATGAGGCCCTTCATATAATTTTTGTCATTTAATCTTCAAAATAAGCCAAATGTTATTATGGATTTTACCAATGAGGAAATTAGTTTGAAATTTCAAAGGTTAAGTACCATGATCACTGTCTTCTTTTAAAGTTCTTATTTAAATTCTAGTGAGTTAACATATAGTGTAATACTAGTTTTGGCTGTGCAATTTAGGGATTCAATACTTCCATACAACACCCTGTTTTCAATATCTTATAGTTGTTAAATACCAGAAGTATGATTTAAATCCTTATCTTCATGATTCCCAAGCCCATTTTTAGCACTATAGTACATTTACTTACTGATAAAATTTCTTCTTATAAAACCACTGTTTAATATGACATACTTAACTTTCAAGCATCCAAATGATAAAAATACACATAAAATATATCGAAATCCTTGGAAAG